AAATTATATTGAATGTTCCTAATATTCTGACCCTCTCATGTATGCCAGGGCAAAAATATACATACACATCTCAATATACTGTATTCCAGTACAACGCCACCTTTAACTATGACCTCAATAATAAACATATAATTGAATTTATACATTTATGATAATCTCACCAAAAAATAAAACATTTTGAGCTTCATAAACACATATGTTAAGGCAGAAGTGTCACACTGAAGTGCATACACATGTAAAGGTGGTCATAATGTTATGCCTGATCGGTGTATATATTTCAAGTATAGCTAGTAATTCCCTCAGTGTGTACTATTTGCCATTGTTTTCCCTTCTCCATAGTGGTTTGTTAGGTTCCTCTGTGTGTTTTTTGTACACCAACCACTTCCAAAGTGTGAGTGAATGCGCGCCCAGTGATGTGCCCAGTCTCAGCAGCCCTGTAGCTTTTGACTTAGCCTCCTTAGTCCAGCTCTGTAGCACTGTGACATCTGTGCACCAACCTTCCTTTAAGTAGTGACAGATTTCACCTCCCCTCAACTCCCCGGATGTATATGAGATGCTAGGCAGTGCACCTGCTACACTGTGTGCATGATGTAAACCATCATGCATATAAATCTGACTGGACGAGAATCGGATTTCCCAGAAATCGGCTGGTCATGCCCAGTGAGGTTAAAGACCGGCAAATTCCAACATTTAATTAATCGATCTCTGTGTCTTTAATTGGAATGCAGGTGGAAATAATATAACTACGTATACTTTCATATATTTTATCAGGTTGAAGACAATGAAGTCATAAGAATAAAACTGTAGCTTCATTCCGTGAGCAGTGTAATACCTTTGGCCTGCTGAGAGCTGCACCTGGACTGGAAACTATCCTTTTGTCATACTTTAATTGAATTAAATCACAATGAAGTAAAGATACAGCAAGCATGATTCAAGGATTAAAAACAAATTCTGATTAAAATCTTTCATTAGATGAGGTCTTAAACAGGTGTTATATTCTTTTTTTAGTATAATATGTGTGTGCGTAGAAGTGAATCATTTACTGCTTGCAAACCAATGATGGTAAGATGATGTCATGGGGTAGGACTGGATAAGTCTGACTTCTTCCTACTCCATTCAAGCATGTACTAGGTATAAGCAAATTAATATTGGATTATGTGTAAAATGATGTGTGTTGTCATATCAACTGTCTTTACATGCTTGAAAGCATAAATCAAATCAAATCAAACCTTAACATTTTAACATTTCGAATGCAGGACCTTTATTGGTAACCGGGTATTACACTGTAATATTTCTACTTTTTCCATCACCAACAGACAGATTTGAGTTGTCACTGATGAACCATCGAGTTTTTAACCCGTCACAGTTCTGTCCCTACCAGCACATCCTGCCCTGTGCCGTGGCACCGAGCCCCATGGTGACCCATTTTGTTGTGTGTTCCAGGCGATGCTGGGAATCTTCTTCAGCACCAAGTCAGCTGTGCTGATTGAGGACGTCCCATTCACCGACAAGGACATTCAAGAAGAGTGAGTCGATGCGATCTCTGAACATCTGAATCTCTCTGGTTAAGATCCTCACCGAACAATAGCTGACTGTCACCGAGGACAGCAGCAGTGCAGTTCAGCAAAGGCAGGATCAGATTTATTTTAGCTGATACAGATCCATTAAAATGTGCCCGGTACAGGCCTGAGACCAGCCTCTGGGATCAGCTTGACGAACTCTCTACAGATAGCTCAACAATATACACATCGGCTACACTGAGGCAAAAATAGTTTCCAAATGATGATGCAACAATACACTATAGCACACTGAGCAGCAGTCATGAGGACACCACTGATCCCAGTGTTCAGACCACCTGTAACCCGCCTGTTCTTCTGTCCACAGTGCAAATCCTCCTCAGCGCATCTACAATCTGTACAACCAGGTCGGCATCAACTGCTTCATCGCTGCCGCCATCTATGTGGTGGTGGGTGCCGTCTCACTCTGCCAGGTCCGACTCAACAAACGTCAGGAGTACATGGTAACATAAAGAGCTGTAGCCGTGACGGAGCCCGATCGCCGCCGCTGGAGCTCCCTTTCTATTGCACAGAGCTAGTCATTAAAGTGTGTGATTGGCTCTGAGTGGTGTGGTCACACGTCACCTGAATTATTTATTTTACAGTCACAGCCTTCCATGTGTTTGTTGTGATGTCTGTTGTTGATGGGTGAAACATCATTCCTGTGTTGTTCATGAAAACAACTAAACTCCTGCATGTCAGATTTATTCCATAAACATTAGCAACAAAAGTTGTAAATGAATTCATCATCGGTGAAAGCGAATGTTAGATTTTCTCTCGGTTCGTTTCAGTTATTCATGTAAATCTGTTATTAAAGTTTACTGGATGTGACACTTTCACAGTATAAATTGACTCATTTCATCATTTTTTACTTTATCTCCGAGAGTAAACCGACCACAGGACTTGTCTTGTCCACCGAGCTGCTGACAGAAAACGTGTTAAAGTCATCACGTTACAAGCTGATTGTTATTAATGCGACTGTGCATCAAACTGAAAGGTGTTTACTGTGGCGACCGTGATGGTGGATGATCCTTCACAATAAAGTGTGAGTGTAAATTTTAACATTGTCTAAATTTGTAGCATTTTAGAAATGGTTCTTTATTTGCATGAAGGCTGGTCTAACGCCTGTGAAGTAAAACTAAATGAATCAGGAGTTCAGACTGAGGAACCATGATTCAGTGGAGGAGGAGGGAGGAGTAGCTGTGACATTAAACCAGATGTCATTTATGGGGTTTGGCGACAGAGCCTCTTCCTGCCACTGAGAGCGAGCTCCTCTGACTGTTCACCTCTGAAGAAACTGGAGAAAGAAGGTGAGTTTTAATCCCAGACTTTGTGGCTGATTCCTTCTTAAGAATGAATCCACTGTGAGATTAAACCTTTAACCTTATAAAACCATTTGTATAATATTTGATACGTGAGGTTTCTGAGCCAAAAAAAAAAAATCACCAAAAATGCCCTGGGGAAGACCCAGGACACGCTGGAGGGACTATGTCTCTCGGCTGGCCTGGGAACGCCT